ACGCTGTACTGCCCAGTCGCAAGCGTTTTCTGCACCACCGGCCCCAGGCCCGTCGCGGCGACGGTCTTGTCTGGCTCCAGCCTGATGACCCAGGACCAGCTGACAATGCGCTTCCCGGGCCCCGCCGTGCTGGGCGACCCGTCGAACACAACATTCGCAGTGCCGATCGGCCCGGTCGGGATGATCGCGTTGAATTTGGGGTCCTTGATCCGCGCCGTCGTGTTGACGTTGCTCGGCGCCGGTGGCGACGGCTGGATGGTCGGCGGGGGCGGGCAGTAGCCCCAGTAGCCGCCGGTCCAGTAGAACCCGTTGTTGAGGCCGGCCTCGCCAGTGCCCTGGACGAACTGGCCGGTGCCCGGCTCGGTCGGGCGCCGGGCGCCGCCGTTGACGCCGTTTTGGAACCCGCTGAAGTCGCCGCCGCCGCCGCCGGACGGGTCGAACCCACCCGGCCCCATCCCGCCGCCGATGCCGCCGATCCCGGGGAAGCCGCCGCCCGGGCCGACGCCGAAGCCGCCGCCCGGCCCGCCCCCGAAGCCGCCGCCTGGGCCGCCCTTGAAGCCACCCACGCCCCCAAACTCGTCGACCCCGCCGCGGCCTGGGCCGCTCTCGAGGCGATTGAATCCGGCCCCAAACCGGCTGTTGATCGGCGAGACAAGTCCGTTGCTTGGGTTGACGAGGACAGAACCCGGGGGTACGGCAGCGCCGCGGTTGATGCCGCCCGAGTTCAGGAGGCTGGAGCCCACGCCTGTCGTCGTCACTCCCATGCCGCCAAACAGCTGGCCCACTGCGTTGTTGAACCCCGACCCCGCGCCGGCCGCGCCGCCCAGCTGCGCGGCGCCGAGGCCGCCGGGGGTGTTGGGCAGGCCGGTCGTCAGCGCGGCGCCGTACGAGGCAATCGCGCCCTGCGTCGCGGCGCCCATGCCCATGAGCAGCGTCCCCAGCCCCCGGCCGGCGATGTTGGCGGTCGGCAGCATGACCGCGCGGTCTGTGATGCCCGGCGCGAGGTTGAAGGAGCGCTGGGACGAGTCCATGTACTGGCTCAGCCGCCGGTGACCGAACAGGCCGCGGATAATCTGGCCGAACGTCGCGGGGGATGACGCCGCGGGGGTCGTCGCCAGCGGGTATGCGCCGGTGCCGTAGGCATTGCTGCCGTACGTGGGGCCGGACACCTGGCCGGCGTACTGCAGATCAGGGTTCGACAGGCCGAGCGTCGTGGGGCCGCCCATGCCTGGGTAGTACCCCGTCGGCCCGATGCCGGACGGCATCGTCGCGGATGGGTACGCGATGCCGTCGGTGCCGGAGTACAGATCCTGGCCGCTGTTAATGCCGGTCATATCGAGCTGCTGCTGCAGCACCTGCGCCTGGGGCGGCAGCTGCGGATTGGACAGGTAGCTGCCCGGCGGGAAGCCGCCCGGCGGGAAGCCGCCGGTGGCGCCCATTTGCTGCTGCAGCTGCTGCTGCAGCTGCAGCTGCGACGGCTGGGCCGCGCCGCCTAGCTGCCCCGGCCGCCACTGCGTGGGGATCGCGCCGGGCAGGGTACCAGAGTTCGGCGGGAGGAACTGGGAGCCGCCGGTCTGCAGGCCGCCTGCTGACGCATCAGAGTTTTGGAGGGTCTGGGGGGGCAGCACCGGGAAGGGCTGCTGGCCGCTGCTAGTGAAGTAGCAGAGCGGCACTGCTGGGGGGAACGGCGGGAACGGCGGCGGCGACGGCGCCGGCGGCGGCCGCGGCGGCGGCGGCGACCGCAGCGGCGG